ATGCTTTTTTCTTTGAAGTATTGCCATTGTCTTATAAATAAATGAAATGGAAATATTTTACTTTTCTCATTTTGCCATAAAAAGGATATGGTTTTAAACAAAGTCTCTTATTTTCATGCGATATGCATGAAAGGCCTGTAATTCTCATCACATTTATAATATATATCTAAAAAAAAAAGTAATGAGTATAAAAAAATCATTTTTGTTGCTGTACGCAGGCCGAAAATCAGAAATGTTCCGATAGTAATTGAAAAAAAATATTATTTAAAAAATTATTTGAAAATTATTTAATTTTTTTTTTTTAAATTATAAACTTCGAAATATAAAGATATTGCAGTAAGAACTTTTTTGTTGAAAAAATATTACAAGAAAATCTCATGAAAAAATTATTCAAATTTAATTATATTTCTCGACAGCGAATGTTACATCAAAATAATAAATGTAACATAAAAAATAAAAAAAAGTAATAAAAATAAATATTAAATATTTTCTTTAAATAAATATTTTAACTATATAATTAATAATCGTTTATTATTTAACAGAAAATAAAATATAAACACAAAAAGTTTACAACTTGAACTTTAAATTTATTTTTATATTATATAAATTATATTTATATATACAAAATAATTAAAAAAGTAGATCACAAAAAAAAATGTTAATTGTATCCAAGCAGTATTATTTATATTAAAAAAATTAATAAATAAATGTAAAAAATTAAAAAAATCAAGAATCAAAAAATAATTAAAAATTAAAAGCAAAGCAAAGCTTTTCTAATAAGAGTCAAATACGTCATTGCCTACATTTAGGGGCGTACAACTACATGGCCCACATTTCGGCAATGAAAAACAAAATCAAGTTTTTGCTACTTTTCAAAAAGACCACCAAGTTCTTGGTAACTCAATTCGCTATTCGCCATAACTACACCATATACATAGATCTCCATCACGGGTAACTGGTACATTGGCTCGTTTATTGACTAGCCGAGTGGTCACCTGAATGCTACGTATGTAAATAACGGGCTAAATAATGGTGACATAGGATACGGTTCGCACATTGTAATTTGATATGAAGCTGACATTTATAGAGGCAGTCAGCCGGAAAGTATGCAACAATGCAATGTATATAAACGAAATGTAGCGTCTAACGCATGTAGCACGTAGAAGCCATCAAATGGTGAACTTAAACTACACGAAAGCACCATTATGGTAGTCGATAAATGGTGTTGTTGTGAGTTGGTTGGATTTGGTAGGAGAATTAATTTTTTTTTTTTTTGCAACTAGATCGGTATCTACATCGCACTCCACCATCAATTTGTCAGTTTGTAGCTAAGAGCAATCATGATTGGCATTCGTTTGTCGTTACTGTTTGTTGCATCAGAGTGTGCTAAACTCATACATATGTATGTATGTACATAAGCGGACACATTTGCGCGTCTTTAATGGTACATTTGAGGTATTTTTTCTTCAACAATCAGACAGAGGATGCGAACATGAAACATCTGCTTGGCAGCAAGGTAGAGAACTTTCTTGTTTTTCATTTTTATTTTTTTTTTGGTGAAGGCTGAAGGAAGTAAATTGAGACGAAGCATGCTTTATTGCATATGTATATATATGTGTGTATGTGTAGGTACTTACAGGTACAAGTATTAGTGTGTAAGTGTTATTGGAAGAGAAAATAATAATCATGAAAAATAACAATGACAATGAAGACATATCCTTAAATTGGCCAACATGATAGCATACATTTAGGCTGCAAGCGAAAAAATCATATCAATGCATGAAGTATTGTATACACATACATCCATGTGTGAGTGTGTGTGTGTGTGTGACTATGAGGTATATTGTTGAAGATAAAGTGGTAAATTGATGAGCCTAAAGGAGCCCAGTAAGCATCATAAGATACAAAGAGCAGCTAAAAGTAAAAGAAAACCCGGTTTCTTAATATGGAAATATTAATATAGAGGTATGCAGAAGGATATCTATAAGGAACTAGTTCTCCTAGAAACCAAGCGACAAGCACGGGAGGTGAGCTAAGCCCCTCCTAAGAGCTTCAAATAATGCTTGCGGGTTAGAGAGGTTCAAGAATTTACCCTTGATGCGTTATGCCTGTTGTAAGAAGCGGACACGGATGTTTATCTGCTCAAGGACTGTGACTCCCGCAATATTTTGCGGCAACAACAAAAACAACAAGATCCTTAAATCTTAGAACTACTCAGCTCAGCCTCGCGTAAAGAGGAATAAACTTTTCCAGACTCTCTAAAAATTAGAAAAAATATAATCATAAGACCATCAGACCAAGTCAAGTAGGATATCCTTCAAGTAGAAAGGGTCCTAACTATCAAGAAAGGTCAACAGCGGTCAGGTATAGTAATTCAATTGCTGGATTCAGCTTCAATGAATGTCAAACATTCCTGTGTGTTTCTGACATGAAATAAAGGCTTCTTTTAAAAACCATCAAGCGTTCGGAGGCGTCTTAGTATAAACTGTAGGTCTCTTCATTTGTTGGAAAAACATCAAGTCAAAGTCTCTTAAATCTTTTAAATTTCCGAATGTCCTGTCTCCTTAGCCGACATTCTCTGAGACCTTTTGAACTCTCCAAGTCTGAAAGTGCATATAAGTTCGTTTTAAAATATGCATTACGTTCTCCGGAGAGATGCAGAGAGAAGAGTTCGTGCTTGTAATTACTAGTGATTTATGTTACCAGTCACTCGATAATTAGAGTAATTTTAAAGCTCATTAACTCGATTTATCAAATTTTTAAAGCTCAATCGTTGATATGATGATTATGAGGGGTTAAAAAGTTTCGACTAGATTTCTTTTTATAAATTTCTCAAAGATTTTTAGTTCTTACTTGCCTTTGTATTATATATACGTGTTTACAAGAAGTACAAATATCTTTACTTTATTGGGTTACAAGCACTGAATAATATATGTATGTATATGTCTGCGCATACACAAGAAATACACATGAATTTATGTTTATGTCTGCGCGTTTGTTTCTCCAGCGTCTCAACCGCGCAACCTTCCTTCGCATTACAATAAAAAGCGCAAACATTCGAGTATTGCATACTTTATGGCGCTTATTGATAAATTGTGGTTGAGATTTCATTTTATTTGTGTTTATTTACTTTTTTCTTTTTCCTGCATTATTGCCGAGATTTATTAGCATAATTTCAGGGGTTTAATATTTGTTGGAATTCGAATGTGCTTTTATTTTATATTGTATTATATATTTGAATAAATATTTTTTCCTTTCTCACTGAATTTTTCCCTTTGATTGCTGCGCTAAACAAGTAAGCCAGCTGAGGGTAGGCTTAGGCGATTTATTTCGTTCATTTCTTGCATTGTTCATTAAAGTGGAGTTAAAGTGATCAAAATAATATTATTGTGGTTTTAATAAAGTCTGTGTCCTTAAGGTAAGTTTGAGCCTTTCATTCTACTTCTCATACACAGGTTTTGTGGCTGATTTTATTAAATAAATGCAAATAAATCAATTTTATACAAGTTTATTAAAGGGAAAAGCAAAATTTTTTTTCGTTTGGAGAGACGGTGTTTTTTTTGGCATAAAATGAGATAAAATAAAAGAAAATAAAATAAAATAAATTAAAAAGAAATAATATATTATAAAATTAAATTAAATAAAATAAAAGAAAAGAAAAGAAAAGAAAATAAAACAAAATAAAATTAAATAAAATAAAATAAAATAAAATAAAATAAAATAAAATAAAATAAACCAAAAATATTAAAACAAAAAGAATTTAAAGTTTTAAAATAGTAAAAAAAATTAAAAGATATAAATTTTAATTTTAATAGATTTTAAAATTTGTTAAATACACAAAATAAATTTATTTCAAAATAAAAATTAAAACGCAAAACTTTCATGAATTTTGCTTTGCTAAGCATTTATTTTCTGTTGACAATTTAAAATTTAAAAACCTAAAATTAAAAAAACTAAAACTATACAGTGTTTTTCTTAAAATATGCTTTAATTAATAAAAAGTCTTACTTTTTCAAGTTTTAAATAAAATTAATGTGCGTCGCAATTGCATACTCACATTATTATTTGTAAATATTGTATAATATTTTGCTATGCCTGACTGAATTTATTTAAATATTAATTCAAATATTATGGGTTTAATTTAATTTAGGTAATGCTACGGAATATTATGTGAAAAAACAACACAACACAATTACGTTGAACGTAATTTAATATTTCAATTTAATGATAGTTAACTATATTTTTTTAGTTTATAAAAATATATATTTTTTATAAAAAACTAAATAAAATAAATTTAAAATTTAATTATTTAAACAAATTTTTTAAATAAAATGTTGTTGGCTACTTTTAGACAAATTTTTATTTATTTGTTGCTAGACAATTTTTATTTTCCGCTTGCTTTATTAAAAAAAAATTAGTTACTCTTTGTTTATTAAATTTTTTTTATGACGTAATTTTTGAATTATTAATATCGTTTAATATCATTATTATTTTATATTTTTTATATTGAATTTTATTTTTATATTTATTTATTTTATTATTCAAGGTTTCGGATTTTTATTACGTTATCGGCTTTAGTATTTAGTTCAAAATGATTTCTTCAATAATTTACAATAATATTTAATTATTTAATTAAATCTTAGATATTTTTCTGACACCTTTGCTATTTTTTAATTTATATATTTTACTATTATTTTTTCATTTTTATTTATTTCTTAAACTATTATTTTATTTTTGAAAAGTGATAAATTAAATTTTTTAAAACAATTTTTTTTTTGTTAAAAAAATTAGAAAAATTAATAAAATCGAAAAATATTACAATATTTATTTTAAGAAGTTCAAATGCAAAATTTACATTTTTTTTAATAAAAAATTTTATAATTAGATAAGATTTATAAAATGTGTATTTAAAGTAGTTAAATATTAAGAATTGTTTTAAAATCATTTTCATATTATTTTTTCTGCATTTTTACTTTTTTAATTTAAGTAAAATTTTAAAATTTTTTTTTTTAGCTTAGAGTAAAATAAAAATTTGCACGCTTTTGACACACCATACACACCTAGAAATATATAGCAAAAAATCATATATTTTAAATTTTTAGTTATTTATTAGCAACCTATATATAATATTTAATGAATTTATCAATTTTATTCAAAGCGTACAACTACTAATATTTAAATATTTTTGACGTTACAAAATTGTTAAAACATAAGATTAATATATTTATTAAATAAAATAAATGTCTAAAATTGAAATCAAATATTATTTTTGAACTTATAAGTGTATGACTATTTTTCGCAGCAGTGAAATGCAAATGATAAGAGCAAATTCCAATAAAATTTTTTTATAAAAAAAATTATATATTATTAAATAGAGTATAGAGCTAGGCTTGAAGAAGACATTTTCTTTGTTAACACTCCCCACTGTAAGATTTTTGTAAAAATAAAAAATTTTTTTTTTAAATATCTGCTAGCAACATTTTTTGTTGGCAACACATTTCTTAATAAAATTTTCATCGAACGGTTTTTATTGCAAAAGTTTAATGCAACACCCGTTGTCGGCAAAGGTTGAGTTGAAAGAATTCACAATTTTTGTTGGCAACATTTTTCATAAGAAATTTATCTTAGCAACATTTATTGTGGAATTTTTTTTTTGTCAAATACGTTTTGCTGGAATTGTTTTAAGCTGGAAAAAAATTTCTTGCAAGCAACGTTTTCATTGCAAATTTTTTCAAATTATTTTTTTTTTTAGAACTTTTGCTTGTGAGACATTTTTCGCCAGCAAAATTCAGTATTTTTCTTAACAACATTTATCTCAGCAACATTTTTACTACAACATTTTTGATGAAAATGATTTTTCATAGCTATTTTTTCCCAATTTTTTTAGCAATATTCTTTTGCACTACATTTTGGGACGGCAAGATTTTACATAGAATTATTATTTCCACAAACAACATATTTCCATCTGAAAATTTTTGTTCGCAAGACTTTTTTTCGCAACATTTTCTGCTCATTCACTTCTCTTGCCAATTATATACTTGTATATCCTATGATCTCCCACACCTCACCAACATTATTGCCACAACAGCGAGCCACTAACGTCAGTTGTTGCCTCACCACATTCGCAACCCATTTGCATTACTTTCTGCGCCATTTTTTTAATTATCTAAAACTTTTCTCTGAAATCCCCTCTCCACACTGCCTCACACCGCTTCAGACATTCTCCGGTTCGGGCAACTTTCGTTCGCAGCAATGACACACCAACGCGCTGAGCCGTTGTCCCAATGCCGACCAAACGGTCAGCGACATCGATGACGACATATTACAGCTGGAGCTGTGTCGCAACGATGCCGCACCCGCCGACGTGGCCGCCTCCTTCTGTTGCTGCAGCAGCGCTGCAAATGCACCGTTATTCGAGAGCGAATTCGTTGTCGTCTCCGAGCTACCCCGTTGTCAAATTTTCGGCGGCTCATACGAGGAGCCACTAGCCATACCTAAGTCAATACTTAAACTCGCCTCGGTCTCGCCGAGATGTGCGGGTGTTATGACGCGCGGCAAGCCGGTTGTTATCAATATCGTATCGCTGGCGTCCACACTGCCAATGCGTATGGGTGGCGGAAGACAAGTGGGCATTTCACTGCCGCCTCCACCGCTGCTATGTAGCGTATTGTTGCTGTTGTTATCATCACCGGTGCCGGTAGTGCCGCCGTCGTGGCGAGAGGATTTGCGACTACTGTCACCGCCGCCACCACTGCTGCTGCTGTAACGCGGATTACTCGTCGCATGACTGCAGGGTACGTCCAGGCTATAGGCGCGCAGGCGACCGGCGCTCACGAGTTCCGAATGAGTGGGCAGGCCGGCACCTGCCGCAAGCGATTTGTGGCGCAGACTGGGTGACTGCAGGCTATTCGAGATGGTGCAGCAGATACTTTGAGGCTTGCCACTGCCAGTACCGCCGCTACCGCTGCCGCCAATCAGTGGATCGCCCAGCTGATGTACGCCCGTTAAGCCGATGGCATTATTGTTGCGCGACGGACACGGTGAACTGCGTGTACTGCCGAAACGTTTACCGCCCTTGTCGAAGGAAAAGCCAAAATAGTCGGAGAACTGTTTAAGACGCGTCTTCCAGGTGGACTTTGACACGGTAGCGCCGCCGCCACCATTGCCACCCAAGCCATTGCCACCGCCCAGACCATTGGACGTGTTGGCGGCTGCAGCAGCTGCGGCGGCGGCGGCGGCAGCTGCAGCACAGCAGTGTTGCTGCAACTTCGGTTGCAGCAGCTGGGTGGGTGAGAGATTGCCATTCGACGACGACTGGAAATGTTGTTGTAGCTGCTGTTGTTGGTGCTGAAATTGTTGTTGCTGCTGTTGCTGCAGCTGTTGTTGTTGCTGGCTGTTGTAGTGTGCCGCATGGTGTATAGGATGATGAAGATGATGATGCTGGCAAGATGGGCTGGCGCACATCGCGCCACCTACATGCGACGATGACATGCCGGCACTGCACTCCACATTTGGCACATTGCTGGGATTTAGCGGCTGTGTGGAAGACTGTGCGACACCGCCCGCGCCGCCTGTGTTGGTCGTGTTCATATTCAAGTCGTCGCCCAAACGATTTGCGGTCGCCTCGAGACTACCACGATTCTGACGATTATAGAAGACATTACTATCGGAGATCACCTGCTGTAGGCCATCGGATAGCCGTCGATTGTTGGTACTGTATTGATCCAAGCTGACGGCGCGATTGGAGCTGAAGTGACAGCGGTTGGTGTGGTAGCCGTGTATGTTGCCATAGGAGTTGCGTATGCGCTGACCGCCACCGCTGCTGCACATCTCGCCGATCATGGAGGGGCGCTTTTCACGCGACGATTTGCGTGAAGTAGAGTGCGAGGACTTGGAGCGATTGCTGCTGCCCTCGGTGTCCACTTTGAACTTGGACGTCTTCTCGGCGACCTGAAAGGGAAGAGAGCAGTTGTAAGCAATACTGTATTCATGAAAGAGAAGCAAAACGAAGAGGAAAAACTAGGCTGACATACTATCGGGCACCCAAAGCTTCATTGTTAAAAACTGATATATCAAAGCACCTTAAAGGATTCGATTGAAAAGTCCACAAAATTAACATCTAAAATATGCATCACAGCAAGATTTTTTAAAAATTTGCATACTCTTAGGTTATGGGTGTATGCGGAAAACTCTTTACTCAGCATTGTTCTTTTAACCAAAATTTCACTAGTATTCTGAATGAGAAATATAAATAATGAATAAGGATTGCTACTGAGCTTTAAGCGTATTTTTAAGTTTTTTCCTAAAGTATAAAAGTTTTTTCTGTTACTTTTCAAATTAGTTTTGAGCAAAAACTTTTGATGTTGCCAAGAAGCGTTGCATAATTTTGGGTATTAACAGCATACAATTGGTAACTTAAATTTTATTTTTTACTATAAATTTTGTATCAATTAAATTAATGACTGTTTTTTTTTTGTAATATTTTTAAATGATTTATTATAAAATTTAGAATTAATTATGGATGTTTTTAACTAATTAAACATAAATACATATATACATATACGGCAATTTGTAACCGCTGAAACGGTTTGCGGCAAAGCTGCCACTCTATTGTTTTCTATACTACTTAAATTTTGTATTTAAATAAATAATTTATATATGTTCAATTCAAATAAACGTGTTTATCAAGCAAACTTTTTTGAATAATTTTTTTTCTTAATTTCAAATTTTTTTATTTAATTATATTTCTCTTAATTTTTAATTTAAATAACTTTTTTTAGTTAATTAATTTTTTTGGATAAATTATCGGTGTACAACTTTGCTTCCGCCGTTTTCCGATAGGTGGCTGCACCGGCTGAGGCTGGTGGAAATACATAGATGATAATGCCTTTAAAGTGAGTGTGGACAGTGCCTAACGAATTGTCATCGCCTTTTCAGTGACAGTTGTTCTTGTTTTCGTATTATTCACGCTCGAAAATGTCCGTTTATGTGCCTAATTCTCGCCATTTGCGGGAAGTTTTACTTTTCTGTTACAATTCGAAAAAAAATGCAGCTGAAGCGCATCGAATGCTCTCAGAAACTTACGGTGATGCTGCTCTGAGTGAAAGAACGTGTCGGGAGTGGTTTCAACGTTTTAAAAATGGTGATTTCGATGTCGAAGACAAACATGGTGGTGGAAGAGAAAAAACCTTCAAAGATGATTTATTTGGTTGGATCAGCTCGGTGTGATTTACTACGAGCTCATAAAACTGGGTGTCAGGAGATCGCTACCGAATGCAACTGATGCGCCTTAGTCGCGCGCTAAAAGAAAAGCGGCCACAATATCAAGAGCGGCATGACAAAGTCACCCTCTAACACGACAATGCTCGGCCTCACCTCGCAAAAGTGGTCAAAAAGTACCTGGAAATGCTGAAATGGGAAGTCTTGCCCCACCCACCGTATTCCCCAGATGTCGCCTCTTCTGATTTCCACCTATTCCGCTCGATGGCACACGGCCTGGTAGATCAACATTTTCAATCCTTCGAAGAATTGGAAAAATTGATTGCTTCATGGATAGCGTCAAAAAAGGACTTCTTTTTTCGAGCCGGGATCCGAAAATTGCCGGAAAGATGGAAGAAAGTTGTCGCTAGCGAAGGACAATACCTTGACTAATATACTTTCGCAATAAAATTTTCAATTTTGGAAAAAGAACGGCGGAAGCAAAGTTGTACACCTGATAATTTTTTTAATATTTTATTAAAAGTAATAATTTTTTATTCTTTAAATGAATATTTTTTCCCACTTAAATTCACACATTTAATATTATTTATTTATAATTGAGACTTCCTTTTTATTTAAATTAGCGCTATTTTTATTATTTCATTTATTTATAAGATGTTTCAGTTTTATATTAAATGGTACTAAATTTTAAATCAATTCTTTAATGTACGATTATTTGAGGCATATTTGCCAAGTAATTTTGATCTAAATTAAAATAATAATAATTTTATAAAATTCTTGGAAAATTTTTTTTTAAATTTTTTAAAATAGCAAATTTTTTATTGAATTTTAAACCGTGTTTTTATATTTATTTCCATTTATGTTAAATTTAATTGCAAATAAATTTTTTAAAATTTAATCATTAATTTTTTATAAAAAAAAATTGAATGTTTGAATCAATAGTCTTTATATTATATATTTAAATAGATAGTCTAGTAGTGTGATTTTTCATATTTAACGTAATAACTACTATCTTTTTAATAATTTATTATTTTGTATTTTTATATTTAGTTAATATATTTTGAATATTATATTCAACTTTAAATTCAGTTTTTTTTATTAATTTTTTCAAATCAGTTAAATTAATATTCTCCAAGTTGAATTAAAGTTTAAAAATTTGTTATTATTTTTTTATCATTATTTTTTTCAAGTAAGTATGGTTTTCTTCATTTCTTATATTCAAAATAAAATTTTCCAATTTTTTATTAATTATTATTTTTTTTAATATAATATATTAAATTAAATTTATTATTTTCAATTTTTATTCCTAATTCCCCCTTCCCCCTTCTCCCATGTTATTTGCAAAAATTTTAATTTTATATTTATATTAATATTTATTTATTTTTTTCCTCTTAAATTAGATTAGATTAGATTACTACAAAAACGTTAGTTCTATCAATTTGCTGGCTCGATATAAAAAAGTGCATACTTGAAGGCGTTTCATATTCTTAAAAAGGCATATACCTGATTTTTAATAACATTTAATTATATTTAATGACAGAATTAGCAAACAAGCGCATGACATTATACATTCTGCTTCTCAAAGAGCATTTCTTTTGCACTCTTTTTCTAAATAACAAGTATATTTTAGGGCGCAAGCATATAGTATTACAAACAGTAAACCAGCCTCTATAGTACTTTTGCAACAAAAGAGCTGCCAACCTGCTTACACCGATAACACAGGGCGCCTAACATTATGCTTTGCAAATTAACTTAACCCCTTTGTTTTGCCACGAAATATGAAAAAATGAAAATCTTTGCATACATTTATGCTGGTAGTGGTTTAAAATTTCACACGTGCTTTTTCAATTTGTTTTTTGTTTAGTTAGCTAGCCGTCAAAATGCTGAAATTAAGCGTTCTAATGTAACTTAATTGACCCCGAAATTATACAATCATTTTTAATTTGCACAAAACAAAAGGGGAAGGCAAAAAAGAAAAAAGAAAATGAAGCGAAAAGTAATCAAAAACTAAACACAGGAAGCATCTCTCCAGTTTCCAGTGAGAGGAGTGTGAAACGAGAAATTCAAAAAAGTGTGGCATACATTTGTGCGCCACAGAAATACAAGAATTACAAAAACAAAAAATTAAAACATTGTTAAACATTTGCCAACACTGTTATTATTGTTTCGTTTTTCTGTTTTTTTTTTGTTTTTTAATTTTGTATTACCAAAGGATTGTCATAAAAATTAAACATAAAACAAGCTAGAAGAAGACAATAAAATTTATATGGCGCAAAGAAAAAAATGTGTAGCATTAAACAAGGCGTGCAACACGAATTAATTACGCTGGCGCGGAAAAGTATACAACAGTATTTAGCGCACAGTACTTTAAAGCAGCAGCTTATAGCGCGCTCTAACACTCAACCTCACTCTCTCTTTCTCCCTCTTTCAGGTTGCGAATCACCAAGTCGCCACCACCACTCCCACCCTCTCGCCCATCACACCACTTTTCCGCTTGTCCGCGCTTAATCATTGTAAATTAAAATAAAAAGCTGTAAGTTGTTAGTACTTACAAGCGTCACGCCACACAGCGTCAGGCCGACGGCTCAAAAAGGATTAGCGCGCGATCGCGCTCGGTTGTGCCATATTTCTGTGGCACGTCTCGCATTATTATTATAACAATTGTTTTTCTCTTTCATTGGGTTGCATTTATGCGGGTGTAAGTGTGGGTGTTTGTGGGTGTCTGTGTGTCTGTAATTGTCATAAAGATAAAGTTTCCGACATTCCCATGCCGGTTAGGCCATTGTTCGGCGCCTATAAGTAGGCAATATATATTAAAATATAAGCAATAAATATGCTCTTATTTCACTTATTTCTCATTTTACCACTAGAAACTGTAAAAGTGCTCGGTGTGCGGGTGGATAATAACGGTATAATTTAAATTTAAGTATCTAACAAAGGGTAAGGTGTGAATGGCTCATTTGGATTGAGTGGCACATACTAAGCACTGCTCTTAAGTCTATTCAGCCTCTGCTTAGTCCGGCATTAAGTGAGAGTTTGTTGGAGGTTTCTTCGCATGTTGACCTATTTGAGTTGAGACTGAGCTGTGGAGGTTTCGGAAGACTTTTTGTTCTATCTATTTTACCTCAACACCATTGGGAACTTAGAGAGGACTTAGGGCTTGCATCAACGGTTGATCGAATTGGATTTATAACGACTTTTGGAGGTGCTGAAAGACCTTTAAATCTACCACCAAATATTTGTTTTTCATAAATTGAGCTGAGGCTGGAAGACTCCAAAAAACATGGTTTTATTGGATCAGTTTAGAGCAGCTCATCGACAACTCGGCTTCTCAACACACTCAGTCCGATATGTGGAGAAAGGAGCTAGAGCTGGCATGGTCGATTAATCGAGTTGACTTAAGGCCGAGCTTTGGAAGTTTCGGAAAACTTTTTGCCATTTAACCCTTTTCCTCTCTTCTTAGTAGAGCTGAGATAGAAAGAATCTTAAGAGTTTCGATGGAATTACGAAAATTTTTTGAAAGCAGAACTGAGGCTCGAAGTAAAGGTCAATCGATTTGAGCTGAAAGCGGGCTATCATTTAGATTGCGATTGCTCCTAATGGATCCTCGAGCTGAAATAGAGATCTGATGACGGGACCTAATTCTACAAAAATCATTCTTCCCACCATGTGAAGTACAACTACATGCATTTTGGATAGATCTGTTCTACGCTGCGTGGGGCCCTCAGTATCTCGCCAGTTTCTCATATTTCCGTTGAGCGAAATTCCATGAAAACTTTGAAATATCCATGAAATTCATCGTCGAAATCATATCTTTTTTAGTCCAGCTTGTTATATTACCCGACTTAGTTGAGCTGATACAACGGTAAGAGTTGTCTTAAATATATTAGCTAATCTCTCAGGATCTCTTGAGACTTTTTTCTTTAATTTTTTTTTCAATCGAAATAAAGAGTATAACTTTTTGCCCAATTATTCCCAAAATTTCAATTCCAATCCCCATCATACCGAATATCTACTTACATCCACTTCCGTTGCCGTTTCCGAATCGCCACTCTCACTACCCTCGGGCAGATCGTGTAGTTCAGCTGCCAGACATTGCGGCTCATCGACAGAGGTGCGCGATGCGGACTTCTGTGATGGTATACTCCGGCGGGACTTCACACTAATGCCCGATTGTGAGCGTGGCATTTGTGGTGAAATACTGCCGCCAGAGTTGGTGCCGCCACTGCCAGAGCCGCCGCCGGCGCTACTCCCTGCTGTAGTAGTGGCTGTGCCCGTCGAGGTGCTAGTAATCTGACCATTTGTGCCGGCAGCAGGGCTGTGCACATGCCCCCCACCGCTGCCACCACCACCTCCACCACCACCTCCACCACCAGCCGCAGCACCACTGGGACACCCAGCAGTCGCGCTGGTGCCACCGTCAGATGCGGCGCTTATATTGTCCGATGCGGCCATTGAGGCGGTGTCTGCGACAGATTTGCGCGATTTGGCTTGGGCGTCATTCAAGCGTCTGTGAAGAGAGTGTGAAAACAAAATATAAATTAATTAATTTTGTTGTGATGATAGAAAGATCTTTGCTTGCTCACCTATAGTAGTCGAGCGCTATGCGCACGGGTATTATAATCAACTCAATCACTTCGGGCACCAACTCACCCAACGCCTCGAAGAGTGGTAATAGCACCAAACCGATGAAACGCACCTGCGAACCAGGTTTACTAACTTTATCCGGATCCATGAAGGGTGTGACGGGCAGTCCCTCCGACTTCTCAGCTGCGCTTTGTGCGAAAAATTCCTGTAGTAAACGATCAAGCCAAGGTTCGGCGACATCCATGGGTCGCGCCTCATTTGAGATGTCGGCCACTTTAATAAGCACCATGCAGAGCTGAGCAGGGACAGAGACAGAGAGTACAAGAAAGAATTTTAGAGAACTTTTGACAAAAAATTAACAAAAACAAATTTTGGAGTATGTTTAAAAGAGACTAGTCACTAAAAGTCGTATCAGTAGTATGAAAACAAGATTAGAGCATATATTAACGTCTGTTATTTTCAATATGAGATATATATATTATTATTATTTTTTCTCCAAATACATGTATTTGAAAACTTTAAATTTACTGTTTATAATTTGAAACATTTTTTTTAATTTTTTTAAATTTTAAATTTCGCATAATTTTTACAATTTTTAAATGATTTTTCAGTTTTTTGTTTGAAATTTTGCTTGCGCAAAAAATGAATACTCACCAAATTGATGTGTGCCCGATTTGAGTAATCGAATATGGGCGTAATCTCTTTAAATTGTGTTAGGATTTCATTGTGGCGCGCCATATCTGTGGCCAATATGCAACGTATGATACCCTCACGTATTTCTCTGTAATTGAAAAATTGGAATCAAATGAAATGGATCTATACATACACACGTTCAAATATTAGAATACTCAAATTACATATAACAAAGAGAAAGGCAGAGAGAAATTCTAATTCAAATTGTTTGGTTTCATATTTTATTTACTTGATTTTATTTTAGCTTACTTTATTTTGTTTTATTTTATTTTTTTTTCATTTCATTTCATTTCATTTCATTTTATTTTATTTTATTTTATTTTATTTTATTTTATTTTATTTTATTTTATTTTATTTTACTTTATTTTACTTTATTTTATTTTATTATATTTTATTTTATTTTCCTCGTTTTTATTTAAGTTTTTTTGCTTAATTTTAGTTTATTTAAATTAATTTCACTTAATTTAATTTAATTATCAGGCTGAATTGGCCGCCAATCAAAAAAGTTACTCATACGCCACAACCTCGTTTTAACTTGCGTGTTAAAACCTACTTTGGAAATATGTGGGAAAAATGCATTTAAAGCAACAAATTTTAAACGAACTCTTTATATGTGTGTTAGCACAAACATATAAATTCTTAACCTATTATAAGGTTTTGCTATGCAAATAACACTTGATTAGAAAACAATTGTTGGGAAGCCAATGAAGGCCAACAGGAAGCTGTGTATATTTTTGCAAGTGGAAAAATGAACAACAATAATAAAATTTAATTGCAGTTGCAAATAGCGGACAAAAGACAAGAATGTAATTAAAAAGCATGTAGAGAAATTAGCTGCGATCCAGAGAAAGAATAAAAAGTAAATCAAAACAAGGAAAAAAGCATAGAAATACAACATGCTGAGCTATGGGTCAGTTTGAGTTTTGAAAAAGCAATTAAAAACTTTTATGCATAACAACCGCGAAAAATAGTTTTGTGCTTTGTTATGAGTGTATTTGTGTGCTCTTGCTTGCAACTATTGACATACTATAAATATATATATATATAATTTACATATTAAAATTAAGAAAAAATATGAAATAATTGCATTTAAAGTTAAAATTCAATTCTGAAAATATATAATGAAAAATTACTATTTTTACAACAAGAAAAATTTTTATGGTTGCGTTTTTACGATATGAAAGGAAACGAAAAAAAAACTGTAGCATTCTGAACTTTTCGTTTACTGCTTTTTCCTCCGCCCCAATCATTATAATTTACCTCATCCTAATCAGCTGTATAATTACTCAACCCTGGAAAAATGAAACTTATTATGTAATGATTACAAATAATTACCACATAAAAGGCAGTTTTTCCTTGCTACAAAAACAAATTTGTGCCAAAGCCACAAATCAGCATTACCATGGCAAGCAAACCCTTAAGAGCGGCGTTAAGGGCCAAAGCCTCGCAGATGACGAGCAAGTGCCGCACGCATAAGTAAGTATCTTAAGAAATCAACTAAAGAGCTAAAGCGACGCAAAGTTAAGTGGTTTTTGGCAAAAGAAGGTGGTACGCGTGTTTACATTTGGTTGCTTTCAACTCAGTTTATGGTGAAAAATAATACGGCAAAATAAAAGGAGGTGGAAAAAAAAAACAAAATAAAAATTATTCTAATGAAATAAAATAATATATAATAAAATTAAATAAAAAAATAGTAATAAGGTAACGTAAAGAAAAATAAAGCGAAATAAATAAAATCAAAATAAAATATAATAAAATAAAATAAGAAATAAATAACATGAAAAAAGTATAACTACAATAAATTAAACTAAATAAAATGATATAAAATAAAATACAATAAATATAAAAAAAATTAATAAACTAAAATAAAATAAAAAATAAATTAAATTGAATGAAATAAAATATAAAAATAAATAACATAAAATATTCAAATAAAATATTATTACAGAAGATAAAATATAAAAATTTAAAAAAAAATTAGATTAAAGAAAATCAAATAAACTATAATAATATATAATAAAATAAATAAAAACAGAATATATAAAGTCTAATGTTATAAATTAAAAAAAATAATATAAACTAAATTTAAATAAAACTAAATAAAAAAAACAATAAGGTAAACCAAAGTAAAATAAAATTAGATGAATAAAAAGATATATGTATAATTAACTAAAAAAAAAATAAAATAAATAAAATTAAAGTACATTATATGAAATAAAACATAAAAAATAAAAAACATAAAATTAAGCGAATAAAATATTATAACATAAGATAAAATAAAAAAAAAATAATAATAAAATAGAGTAAAATAAGATAAGCGGAAGTAAAATAATATTTAATTAAATAATATAAAATAAAATGAAATGAAATAAATTAAAATTATGTAAAGAAAAACAAAATAAAACCAAATAAAATCAAATCAAGTTAACTAAATTAAATTAATTAAAATAAAATTTAGTGAACTGAAATGAAAAATTACAATAAAAAAAAAATAAAAAATAAACTAAAGTGAATAAAATATAATAAAATAAGACAAAATAAGGAAAAACTTAAAATCTTAAATCTGAGATGGCATAAAAAAGAGAAAGGAAAGAAATTATAATAAATTTTATAAAAAATAAAATTTTATTCTGAAAAAGCCTTTTTTTTTATGGAATCGGCATATTTCTAATGCTTTTGCACCACCCCAATGGCTTCCCTATAATTTCCTTATGTTCTATTTCTTCATCTCGCTATACATCTAAAATAATAATTTTGTAGTTGTTGCTTTAATATGTTTTGTTTCAATGACTTTAATTGAGCATATAGAGCAGCCTTGGTTGTCTTAGCAACCGTCATCAGAGCATTTAATCACTACGCGACGGATATTAATTAACAAAATCCACACCAATGCCAAGCTCAATTCACTCAAGTAGACGGCAAAAGGAGCTGCGCATGTAAGCACACACACACACAAGCATGCACCCACAAAATTCCATATTCTCCCACAAATTCTCTGAAATTTCGGCATATACATATACATATATATATAAACGTATATATCAATTGTATTATTTTAGCGTTGCTTTTCTACAAATTTACTTTGCACATATTTTTACATACTTATTCACAATACATGCATACATATATATATAATATATGTAAGTAATATTGCAATTTAAAGCTTAAAGTCTTTGTGCTCCTCCATCAATATTTGCTGAATGGAGCACAGCGACTTTCGGCTTTAAATTTTGTTTGAACGAATTTAAATACACAGCAAAAGTGAAATGTTAAATGTCCTTAAAGTGTTTTTAGTTTTTAATTTATTAGAATAGGAAAAATAGCGACAGGCCAACGTTTTCGGACTTCTGAGGACCAAACCGATAAAGCAATACAAAAAACCCATAAAACCAAAAGGCAGACGTCTAAGGACAGCATTCTTCCAGCACATTCACACATGTCACATACCTGTAGGAATAGCGCAGCATTTGGAGGTACAGTGAAGGACCGAAGACCGCACGCAGATGCGACATGTACCATCAAAGATGCTTGACGTCATGTTCAGGCGGGTTGCCTTTTCAGATCGACACTGCCGTATTCAAAAAGGTGCTTTTACGACTGTCTATTAACTCTGTTGTTGCGGAATATAATCAAGCCAGAAATTAAACGTGTCAAAGGTGTCCCTGAGCTTCTGAAGACACAGCGGTGTGGTAAAAGTAATGTCAAGGAAATCTTCCCAAAAGGTATTGGCTAAGTAAAACAGAAAATTTGAGACGAAAATACGGAAGGACCTTCACGAAACTGCCTGCTTTGTGGTGAGGGTTGGTGGAGAGCGGAAAAGAACGTCACGAGCAACGGCAATGGATCGCTGTTACCCGACGTAGCAACAGAAGATGAAGGGGCATATATTGCCGAGAGGCTGACCTCTTCCCAAGAGTAGCGGCTTCTTACACCTCAAACGAAAAACATGTATGTCACCCATGTATATGAAAGGGAAGTGCCCTTACTTGCAAGCTTGCCCTCCAATTCATAGCCCGATACTTTATTGTATTTAGCCATCCAAGCCAGATCCAAAGTGATGTTTAGCCATCGCGTTAAGTGATCTGCGTCAATACTCTATGGTTTCTGATTTTACTGTTACAGATTCCAGAGCTTTAAAAACGAACTGGCTATACGATAAGATATGAATATGACATTTCGACAGCATATTTGAGCTCAGACAATCCAGCGCTTCACACGTAGCCGCCAATGATTGCAAAATAAGCACTTCAGTGATTCGACAAACGAAAGGATTTGCAAATATGAAAGATCTTTAGAGAAAACTCTGCCATAAACCCTGTTATTGAGTTTTGACCCATCCATTAAGTAATGAATCGGCTTAGCGCTTGCTGCCATTATTCTGTTCCATTGGTTTCTATCCGAAAAAATACCTTGAAATCAGTCGTAAAATCAAAGAATGATATGCATTTATATAGGACGTCTTCCTAACAGTTCTGTGACCAGCTCCATTTCCTTTCTAAAAGGAGTGCCATATATTTTGCAGGCTGGTTTTCGGTTCTCTTTAGGTTGATGCTTAATCTAGCACCATTTGGCGCTCAATCATCCACTTCGGTCGTATTCGAGACTGTGTGTTGAAAAGATTGCTTCAAAAGCTGTAATAAGCTTTAAAAAGCTTATGTAAGTAATATAATATTTATAAAAGTTTTATAAAGAAGTTTTTTTTAGTTTTTTGCTTTATGAAAAACTTTAATAATTATAATATAAAGTATATTATAAAAATTATAATAAAAAAATAAATTAAAAATAAATAATTATAAAAGTATTTTAATTAATTTTATTTTAAAAATTGGTCGAAACAAATTTACTCTTGCAGGTTTAAACTAAAATCAGTACGAAACAATAGAAAACAAATTATTAAAACATTTCCCATGAAGCAAAGCCAAGCCTCAACATATTTTTTTAAATTCATAATATTTTTGTAAATTTCTCTAAACAAAAAAAAAAGAACATTTATACAAACAATGATACATAATTGCATGTGTAGCATTGCCTAAAAACAAATCAGACGTCTGCGAAAAATTCAAAGCAAGAAAAAAGAGAAAAAAACAC